ATTCTGTAAGAAACATGACATGGTTAATTTATGAAATTACAGATTCGGTATCTGGTTGAGTTATATACTAGCTGGGTGACCTTGAGATAAGTCACTTTATACTTTAAAATGTTATTCACTTCATTTCTTATGGAAATAATTATGCACACTTGGGAGTTACTGCAAAGATTAAATGAGATAAAACATACAAGCACTTGGCGCATACAAAAAGCAACATATTTTCTCCTTCCTTAAACACACATAACCTTGCTAAATGATTTTTTTAAAGATTTGAATAAATGTCAAGAAAGCAAGAAGAGAATCTCTATTTATGTGTATACAGAGATAAAGACTAGACACAAAACATTCCAAAGTGATTAAAGATAGGAATGAGAAGAAAACTGGAATTTTTGTTTTAAGGCTGGAGTTGTTCAGGAACAATTTACTTACACAGCCTTTTCAAGAGCTCCAATCTCATTAGACATTCCCAAGCCATAATAGCACAATGCTCCAAGACCAACAGCAGCTCCTCCAGCAACAAACCATCTTCCCATCTGATCAACTGCAGAACACAGAAGGAAATGCAGGTTAATACTGGCATGTCTGGACAAAGCCTTTAAAATATTTATGAAGGGAAACAAATCAGGTACCATATTCAGTAACAGCCACAATCAGTGCACATGGGGTGGCCTCAATGTTAGGTAACCAGTAGAAAAAAACACCCCTGAAACAAAGGTGTAATAATCAGAACAAAAAGGAAAGGATCAGACTTGGTGAATCTTCAAACTAACTCCAACAATATTTGAGTGGGCAATGAATCTATAGATGAGGAATTACTTCTGTGATACACAGTATTTTATTAATAAGAGGTTGAAGTATATTCACATAACATTCTTACAAAGTAAAAAAAGAAGAAAATGTTAATAGTCATAACCACACTGCATGTTATTAACACAGAAGATGCTTTACACAGAAATCAAGAAAAAAATATAATCAGTGTTTATGCAGCAGAATCAAGTGAGAGGATGCCTCCATTTTAGGGTACTGAGACACAACTTATCAATTCTAACTCAATAAAGGTATTCATAAAGAGCATCTTATTCTTTGTCTAAATTTGTTTACTAAGAATATTACTAGGCTGTCACTACATAATTTGCATGATTTGGTCTTTAGGGTCAACTCAGAAAGAAATGACCTGAAGGATACTGATTAGGGCTCTCTCCCACTGTAAAGACATTTTGCAAGATTGCTAAGGAGCAGTGGTATTCTTTGATTGGCTTTAGGATGATTAACAATCCAGTTTCTGAACTTGCAAAAGTTGACATCCAAACTGGCAATATATTTAAGTACTGGCCTCCTGAGGCCCTATGTGAGCAGTCAGTTAAAGGACTCTTCTTGGACAGCTAGGCTTTTATTAACAACTGTATATTGGTGATTTAGTCTTAATCTGAAACATATACAAATATATGCTTGAATAAGGATTCTATGCACTTAAAATGAAATTTCTCAACAGACTATACCTTTTGGACCAAGGCATATTAATTAATCCTTTTCTCTTTAAAAAAAAAAAAAAAAAAAAAGGGAGGGGGAGTAAAATTTCCACTGGAAGAAATATGACTGATAACCACTGAATCCAGTGCAAAGTACCAATCTTTTCTGGGTCATCTCTGAGAATAATAATGTGGTCTTCTCAGAAAATGCACAACTACACATATTTTTAGGAAGTTGTGCATGGATCTCTTAAAACATATCCATAGATTCCAGGTTAAAAACTACAGACAGCCACCTACTTTTAAATATTTTTTCCATTGATGGTTCCAATGCTGCCTCTTTGAGTTCTTGGCCAGTTCTTCCACGCCGGATCCCAATTCTTGTTTTGGTGGCATATTCCTGACATACATGCAAACAAAGACACACACGACCCACATGAAAACAGAATGTTAGTAAAATAAAATGCAAGCTCTCTTTGGTGCGTTCTATATACGTAACTTCACTATGGAAATTTATTAGCCAACCTAAAAAATTAAATGTAAAAATAAAATAAATAAATGTAGCTCTTACCTGTGTTCCACCTTTGGAAGTAATTCATTATATTCTTCTTAGCTTCAGTTTCAGAAAAAATGTTTCTTTTACAAACTAGAGATTTACATACCTAGAACTGTTACATTTTAAATCCTAATCAAATATCAAGATGAGAATCTATTTGCATTTTTAAGAAATGCATTCTATAAGCATTATTAGCTATATTTTGTCATCTGAGATATGGACTCAATAAAGGCATCCTTCCTGAACATGAAGCTAAGAAGACGGAAGACTACTACTTCCATTTTGGCTCTTTTTCAACAGTGGAACAGTTAATTTAAAAAAGTCTCCTTCTAGCTTCTGTATATTGTCCTCATTACCTTACACTTCCAACCTTATAATTTAAATGCTAGTGGAGAAATCTATTGTAAAAAAGATGGGTTTCTTTCTAACCTGACAGATATTATCAATCTCGAAGTAAGAGCTGAAATAATATCTTTAATAACTTATTAATAAGCTATTGGCCAAGTGGTAATATCCCCGGGTTCTTAAACCTCTATGTACTCCAGGATCTCCGTTACATCATATGACTCTCAATCCCTCACAATGTACTCTAAATTTTCTAAATGAGAAACTCCAGAAGCTGTAAGCAAAGGCAGAGTTATAGAAACTCATTTTCTATTTCATATGGGATTAAGAAGGGAACAGAATGATAAAAACTAATGGGGAGAAGGAGCTGATTGGGGGTATAATCAGGGCTAATTGATACATAACTCACTAAAGGCAGAACAGCCATCCTTTGCTAAAAAGAAAGGGCAGAAATAGAAAAAGCAGCAATATAATAAACATTCAGATTATCTTTACCCTGCTGGGTGTTAACAGCCATTGATTCTTTGTGATGGAATTCTTTACGATGGAATTCTTCGCAACAGGGGAGGCCTTGGTGAAAGCTGAATGCAAAACCCTAGAAGGTAGTGTCCGGAGACACACAAGCCTTGCAGCCAGCATGGTGTTGCACCAGGTCTACCAAGCAGATCTGAAATGCTAGTAAGAAAGGCAAAAACAACCAAAAAAAGAAAACCAAAACAACCCATTAACCAATTAAGAAATGGACATACAAGAGTCAGAGTCAAGAAGGAACAAATTATATTTTAGTAGAAGAGGAAATAAAGCAAACTTTTTAACTTTCAGTAATAAATTCTTTGCCCATCCCTTGTTATTCAAGAAACCCATCCCAGAGAACTCAGCTGAGGATGGAGCAACAAATTAAGTCCCAGTTTGACCAATAACAGGATAGATGACTGCAAAAACTACGTGTAACACAGAATGGCTATTAATAACTGAACGTAATTACAGGGTCTCAGGCAGCTTCTACAAATTAGTTCTGGCTTAAGATTTATACCAGCATTCAGTGAAAAAATTATTTAAAAGAATCTCTGTAACTTTAAAGAATCTACGTAACTTTTGGGCAGAGGAATAATGTCATCCAAAGAAAGCATGAATAGCTCCTCAAGGTTATACCGCATTATAAGGTTAAAAGATATTAAAGAAGCCCAACTATATGAATTTCAGCTAATCATACCAAATATTCTCCTTCAACATAAGATATAAAAATATTCTAAGTTAACCTATTCTATATGCCCTACTATAATGCGTAAACGACATTTAGTCTTTCAAAGTAAACTCACTTACCAATCAGGTTTCCCTTAGACTCCTTTAATGGTGTCTTCAAAAAAAAAGCATGTTAAAAACTGGATTCTCTTAGCTCCAGGGCACTTTATACTAGATGGGTGGCTAACCAGAATTCAGCTGACCGTGTTTCTGTAATGCTAAATTAATGTCAGGTGACTACGATAGGCCAGAATAACATGACAGGTGTAAGCCAACTGGGGCTACCAGCCCATCTCTGCCAATGATACGTAGTGAATTTCAGACAAGTGACTATCCTTCCGGATCCATTTCCCCATCTGTAACTTAAGATAATGGTTCTCAGTGTTCTGACTCCAGTGTTGACCTCTGGATTACCTGCTTGAAAGTGCCCGATGCATCTTAAAATGTAGGCTCCTGGGTCTTACTTTGCTCCTAATGATTCTACCTCTAGGAATAATAGGACCAAAATATATGTTTTGACGAACACTCCAAAAGCTAAGAACTATTGCTTTAAGATACCTGAGTATCCTCCTAGCTCTACAACCGAACTATGAAGAGTCTTAATGCTCGGCACCTGGCCTATGGGAAAACACTCAGCCCTTCTAGAACTTTCATGCCATTACATCATCTCAACCTACAGCTGTCCTGTAACTTCCTTGGTACTCAACTCACTGGTTGGGATCGAAGAGGTCCAGCTCAGAGTGACCCCTATGTGGCGTAACAGCCCAGAGTGGGAATTCCCGTTTCGAACACGTTAGAAATGACCTTGTGAGGTAGATAGATCTCTAAGACTCAGATACCAAATGGGGAAAATGCTACCGACCCTAACCTAAGGGCTTAGGCCTCTGTGAGCATTGATGAGTTTGGGTGCCTGGTCCCCGAGAAAGTTCACCCAGACCGCTAGACTCGGTGAGAACCCGGCAGCAACAATCCACCTCAACGCAAAACCCCTCTGCCCCTTCCCCAGGGGCCGCTATCAGCGCAGTTACGGCCTGGCCGCAAGAATGACTCAGCACCTTGTTGCCCGGGGAGAGAAGCACAGGAACAGTGAGCCCTTGCCCGCCCGACTCGGACTTGTGGCCGCCGCCCTCTCCACCGGGTCACCCACAGGACCGCGACACAGGCGCGCAGGCCAGCCCTGACGCAGCTAGCAGCATCGCCGCTTCCAGCCCTACCCAGCCGCACCCAACGGTCCCGTAAAGCCAGCTGTAAGGAGCACCCGGCATCCCGGGCGCCCGACGGCCAGCGGGAGCAGTACCTTGGTCCTCCGTCACCTCTGCCGCGCAGTTTCCCTTGCGGGCCGGCGAAACCCGCAGTCCTCCACCTCCCCGGTCCTCTGCACGCTCCTTACGCCCCGAACGCGCACCGTTCCTCCGGCGTACTGCGTGAGGTAAATAGTACGAGCAGCCAATCACCGGCAGACCTTGGTCGGAAAGGCGGGCACAGTGGTAGAGGCGGGGTTCCGGTTTGCAGAGGCGGGGTTCCGAGTTGGTGGTGCGGGTCAGTTAAGGATTGTTGTTGGGAACGTCATAGTCAGCGTCCATTTTAAGTGTGGGCAAGGGAGTCGTCTCCGCCATATTGGTTCTGGACAGCGGAGCTCTGTTTTGCTTTTCTTTTAGCCTTTTCACTCACCGCAGATATGAGAATTATGTAAAAATTGAAAGAAAGTAGTGTTTGATTTGAAAATTATTTAGTTGCCCCATTTTTTTCTTTTCGAAGGCCTTTTTGTGCCTTAATGTATTGTGAGATAAATACCGTTCCAAATGCGGCTGCTTCCGACCGGAGTCTACCGGTTTGGGTCTCACGTTAAAGGTTAGATGGTGAAATCCAGAAAAGATTTTTTTTCTAGACTGTTTTTTCATTGCTTTGTGACTTTGCCGTGCACATTTGTAATTGGCCTGATAACAGCCGCCTCTGCTTCGCACCGGGGTTGCTCTGAGGACCAAGATGTTTCCGTTGCCCGTAATTTGATAGGTGAAGAGCTAGTTCTGGCGCGAGGGAGTTACTTTTTTTTTTTTTTTCACTCTCCCTCTGTTTCAGCAAATATTGAAGGCTCAACTTGGTACCAGGCTCTGTTCTGGAAATACATACAAATGAATCAAACACGTGCTACCACTATTTTGGCAAAAAAAAGTCCTTGCCCTGTGGTTTTACTTTTTGGTGGAGACAGAACATAGAAAAAATACCTTCGCTGTGATAACTTTTTTTTTTTTGAGACAGAGTCTTGCTCTGTCATCCAGGCTGGAATGCAGTGGCACGATCTCGGCTCACTGCAACCTCCGCCTCCCGGGTTCAAGAGATCCTCCTGCTTCAGCCTCCCGAGTAGTTGGGATTACGGGGGCACGCCACCACCCCCAGCTAGGTTTTAGATTTTTAAGTGGAGACCCGGTCTCGCCATTTTGGTAAGGCTGGTCTCGAACTGCTGACTTCAGGTGATCTGCCTGCCTCTGCCAAAGTGCTGGGACTACAGGCCTCCCAAAGTGCTGAGGTTACAGGCATAAGCCACTATGCCCAGTAGGTGGTAGCTATTAATACTGCTAAGAAAAAGCAGAGTAAAACCCTGGAGGGATGCTATTTTAGATAAGGTGATTAACATGCAAAATTCATGAACCTTTATCTCCTAAGCAGTAGTTAATTGTGATTTATGATTCCTAATCATGTAACCTTAACAAAAGACTTGCTTTCTGTATGGATGATAAAAGAGTGTGGCAGCAACACAATTCTTATCTCTTTAAGCTGAAATGGCAGGAAAACACTAGAGAAATCTCACTTATGAAACTGAACAGATCAAGCATGATCAATTTAATCTTTCTTTTGATCTATGCCCAATTTGATTAGCTAGCAAACAGGTTTTCTGTTTGGCTTCTTCCCTGCTAGTCTTTTTTTCTGGAGCTTCTGTTATCAGCAAAGAGAAAGGATTTACAACAAAGTAATGGAATAAAAAATCTTGTCGTTAATGACTCCAGATTTCTTCAAGATTCATATTAAAGCTTATTTTCTCCATATTGAAAGAAAAATTCCTGATTTCATATTTTCCTTTCTCAAGTAAAGGGCCCGTGTTGTTTACACAGGTGTCAGATATTTCGAGGCAGGGGAGGAACCTGGTCACATCGTTGGGAAAGATATGCTCTTGCAGGAGTGTTGGAAGGGAGAGGTTCCATGGACCAGAAGACCAATTAGGAATTTATTATAGTTGTTCAAGCAAAAGGCAATAAAGGCTGGAATCAAGCCAGTAGAAAGACACAGAGGGGTTTATGACAGATATATTGCTGAAGTGGAGTTTGCAGGATTGAATGATCTATCAAATATAGCTCATAAGAATGACGGAGGCTCCCTGAGTAATCCTTCTGACTTGGATGGTTAATTATATCATTACTTTATCAATAGGATACAGGGAGAGATACAAATGAGGGGAAATACATACATAAAACTTAATTTGAAGTGTTAAATTGTTAAGCTCTCTGCTTCTAAGGTCTTAGAGCATAGGAGAGAGTAAAGGACAAGATGGGAGTGGTGGCACATGCATGTAGTCCCAGTTAGTGGGGAGGCAGCCCAGGAGCTTAAGGCCAGCCTGGGCAACATAGGATGACCCTGTCTTTAAAAATAAATAAGTAAATAAAAAAGAAAAGACATGATTCGTAAATCCCAATACTATATATATGTCAGTTTTTTTTTATTTTGAGATGGAGTCTCACTCTGTTGCCCAGGCTGGAGTGCAGTGGCTCAATATTGGCTCACTGCAACCTCTGCCTTCCGGGTTCAAGCGATTCTCCTGTCTTAAGTAGCTGGGACTACAGGTGCATGCTACCACGCACGGCTAATTTTTTGTATTTTCAGTAGAGATGGGGTTTCATGTGTTAGCCAGCATAGTCTCGATCTCCTGACTTCGTGATCCGCCTGCCTCGGCCTCCAAAAGTGCTGGGATCACAGGTATGAGCCACCACACCTGGCCTAGGTTAAGGTTTCTATTGCAGGCTGCCGCTGAGTTCCTTATTCTCCACTTACTGGCTAAGTGGGATGTGCTGCATTATAGTGAAGAAAACTAAGAGCCAAGAAAAAAAGAGAAAATATTTTATTTATTTATTTATTTTAATTTTTTTTTTTTTTTGAGACAGAGTTTCCCTCTTGTTACCCAGGCCAGAGTGCAATGGCTCTATCTCGGCTCACCGCAACCCCTGCCTCCTGGGTTCAAGCAATTCTTCTGCTTCAGCCTCGCGAGTAGCTGGGACTACAGGCATGGACCACCATGCCCAGCTAATTTTTGTATTTTTAGTAGAGACATGGTTTCACCATGTTGACTAGGATGGTCTGGATCTCTTGACCTCGTGATCCACCTGCTTCGGCCTCCCAAAGTGCTGGGATTATAGGTGTGAGCCACCGCGCCCTGCCTGAAAATATTTTATTTACTTTCAGTTAAAATAAATGCTCTTACCCTGCCCCACTACGCTTTCCCATCAGAAGATGTGGCGTGAGTGAAAGAGAGTTGGAAAGGGAGTAGAGCTTTCACCTCTGCCCTCCCTGACGAAGTCTCCCAACAAAGGGAAGGTGCTTCTTCCTGAAAGATGGCAGATTTTTCTGAATGTAGGGACCAACTGACACCTGCTTCTCATGTGGTTGCTAAGTGGCAGACAGCAGAGCAGATAGGAACGGGACAAGATCTTCTCTGTCTTTGCCTTGTTTTCCCCTGGAATCCCCACGGCCTAGATAAACACAAGAACATGGTTGTGGGCACATATCTGCTTGCCTGCACCCTTTGAGATGCTGCTCAGTAGTGAGGTGACACTAGAAGTATGCATGGGTGAGATGCCCAGATGGGCACCAACAGACAATTTAGTGTACAACAAGGCAGAGCCATCTGACTCTGCTTGTCTGCTTGGGGGAAAGATCAAACTGCCGACCTCAACAGTTATATCCTGCCAGCCTCAGAAAGGCAGTGAAGCCATGGGGACGGCTATGTCTAGATTATCCTCAACAGCAGCTGCATGACAATGCACTGACCAAGAGGTAGAGTGGAGGGACAGAGAACCTACACTGCTCCCCTCCTGTTTAATGTAAATATTTCTAATCTAGGTAAGGCCCAGGATCAGAGAAAAAGCTTTGAACTCCAATGTGACTGATGGTGATAAATCCTGAAACTGACAGATAAATGTCAGACTGTTCTGAGCTTGCAGAATGGAATAAATAGGCTGTCTGCTCTAAACTGACTGGGGCCTTGAAAGTGACATCGATGGCAGTTTAAAGAAAAATGTAGCTCAATTTTGCATTCACCTAACTGACAATTTCCCAATATATACCCCTCACATATATACAAGTATTTGCTGTAAGTGGGCCGAAGGACAAGGTCATTGATGGGGTAGTATCTGTGGAGGGACAGACGTTGGCAGAAAATTGAGAATAGTGTCATGCTTTCTGGTCAGGATTCCAAGAGGAAACCAACATTCAGAAATTGCAGTAGCTTTTCTTAAGAAAAATGTATTAGGCTGTTCTTGCACTGTTATTTCTTTGTTATTATAAAGAAATACCCGAGGCTGGGTATTTTAAAAGAGGTTTAATTGGCTCATGGTTCTGCAGGCTATATAGGAAGCATAGTGGCATCAGCTTCTGGGGAGGCCTCAGGAAGCTTCCTATCATGGCAAAAGGCAAAGAGGGGCAGGTACAGCACAAAGCAAAAGAGACAGTTGTCAGGAGGGGCCACAAACTTTTAAATGACCAGATCTCCCTGAGAACTCACTATCTCACGGACAGCACCAAGGGGATGGTGCTAAACCATTCATGAGAGATCCACTCCCATGACCCACTCACGTCTTTCCAGGCCACTCCTCCAATAACGGGGATTACATTTCAATGTGAGATTTGGGTGGGGACAAATATACAACTATATCAAAAACATGGCAAGGTAAATGGTAGATCTGGGTCTAGAACATGCATTCTCTCAATGGAGGCAAAAACTGGTGCTTGAGGGATAAAAATATTGTTTTAAATATATAATGCATGGATATGCAGACAGCACATGTGCCAGCATAGCTGTGACATTAAGATGTCAAGGGGAAGGGAATTAGGCAAAAATATCTGAAATGAATTCTTAGGGAGGCAATCATAAAAAAAGACTGAGGAACATTGGCCTAGAATATAGGACTTCTGTGATTCCCTCTGATGGCAGGCACATCAGAAAAATTTTTGGTGTTACCATCTGTGGTTCTATCAATGAGTTGTTATTTGAGGTGGTTTTGTGATCTCGAAGGAAATGAAAATATTTCACCCCAAAATATATTTTCCTGACATTGTTCAAGATGACTATTCAGAAAGGCTGGAAATAAAATAATAGCTAAAGAGCTGTCTTTTGTGGGAGAGATTAGCATTTGTAGAAAAAGTCTACATTAATAAAGCCCT